TTTCATAGAAGTCTTCCTCAGCTTTGTTAGGTGAGACCCTCTTGAGCCCTTAAACCAAGCCTGGCCTGTGGCCCGTACTATCATGATTCTTAGTGGCAACGGTCTATCTCTGAAGAGACTGCTTTAAATGGCACCAGTCACTTGTCACTAACTTAGATATACAGGGGGTTGTTTCACGTCTTATTGATGTAGTGCATATTACCCTGCATCCAGAAGATCAGACTGCTGTTCTACACTTTGGGTCTTGTAAACTCTTACAGCTGCAAATACCTTTCCACTACACCTGATATTTAGTACATTCTTGTATGCAGACAGGAAACGCCCTGAGAGTCCTTGGCCCCACCTGAGAAAGTTTCAGAACTTTTCCCATTTGTACTGGATTTTGCAAATCAGTGGACTGTTCCCACCATGGATACACCAGTGACCCACCTTAACAGAATTTTCATTAGACTGGTCGAGGCTGTATTTGCCTTTTGGGATTCACTGACAGGTAAAGTCCCTGCCTAAATCCATGTTTGAATTCACTGGTTTAGCTCTCTGTCCAATGTTCGCAGTAACATAGTCAAATATGAATATTCATAGTCAAACAGTGTCAGATGGTTGAAGATTCCCTTATAAGGGATTCCTTCACCACCAAGGTAGGTCCCAGTTTCATAGAACGGCTGGAGCAGCTGTCTGGAGTCTTGCAGTTTAGTGGTGATGGCTTGTTACAAGCTTTTAAGCTTGTGTCTCTCATGGGACTGATGTTGCTACAGATGCACATAGCACTCCAGCTGCATGGGTGGGATGTTGATACTACCTCCAAGAAGTATCTGTCTCCAATATCAGCCTTTGAAAGATGCCATCTCTTGAGCCCAGCTTGACTCCATGCTTAGCAATGCCACGGGTGGCTAGAGTGTGCTCCTGCCTCAATGCAAGAGGTCTGTGAAGGGGTCTGAGGAATCCCACCCTTCATCCACTTTGGCTGTAGTTGCTCAAAGGTTTTCAGAGTCCAACTCCCACACAGTCCATAGGTTTCAAATCCAAAGGTCAGCTAAAATCTATGGAACACCTTCAAGTGGGATGCTCTTTGTATATTAGACAGGTTATTGGGTAATGTGCCTGCATAGCATTTGGGTGCTCAGGACACCCCCTGTACCTCAGAGGCTAACCCCTTGTGTCTGGCACCTCCTTTAGATGCCCATGTCTCTCTTGTACTAAGGCACAAAGTAATTCAACTTCTGAGTTCCCCACAACCTGGGACCCCTTGCCCCTGTTCAACTGAGGACTGGGCTTCTGTACCCCACCTTCTCTCCTACTCCTTTTTTCAAGAGAACCCTATACCTTTGTGTACTGTTGAATCCCTTGTGGCAACCTTCCTCTCTAGAGGGATTTACTGACCTACAAGGTTGACCAGGAACAGTTCTGGCATTTCCCTACCTTAACAAGGATTTGGCCTCTAGATGTCTTTCAGAGACACCTGTTAATTCTTGGAGCACTGGACCTTGTGTCTACAACAGTACCTTTTTCCTGGCATCCCAAATGTGGGATGCTTCGAATAATATCTCATGAAGGTGGTCAGCTTTTTGGACCCTTGCAGTTGGAACCCTTCTAAAGTGCTGAATACCTGGAAGTTTTGCCCATATAGGGCTTTCCAGGTGTCTATCATTGATGGGAGAGGCCGTTCAAATAAAACACTCACTAAAAAGGTCTAACCTACTTTTTTCTTATTAAACATTTTTTATGGTAATGCACTAGGCCTGTGCGCCCTCTGTTTGTTCTTTCCTCATTCAGTATATTTGGATTTCCCCAGTCTATTGAGTGCAGCAAGGTGTGCATGTTCCAGGACATTGTTAATGTGGTTGTAGCTTGCATCGAGTCAATCCAAAGCACAGGAGCATTTGTGTTTGCTGGTTCAAAAGATTCTTAGAACTGTGTTTGTGCTCAAGGTTATGCAGGTCCTGCAGAGTTCCTCTGTCCCCAGAGACATCCTGTTATTCTTCAGGTGTTCCTTTGCACAATTCTGGGGTTGTGGTATACCTTTCATTCATACCTAGCCCTATAAATTACTGTGCACCCTACGCCCTTTTCAGTCAGGCTGATTTCATGATTGGTTTCTACCAGTCTCAGGGGTCTCTTATGCAGACCATACGTGGGTTGAATTCCGAACGAAATTTTCTTTAGAAAATCAGAAATTTTGCGTGTTTTGTAATCCGATGGTGCCACCATTGATTTTGAAATTCAACCAACCAAGCCTTCAATTGCACATGTTGCTACAGAAAATAATTTTCGTGGCCAAGAATTTTCTTTTCTTTCCAGGTAACAGCTCATGCTCATTTCTTTTTGGTTTATATTTCCCGCACGATTCTCTGCCATCATTGATTCGAAATTCGTTCTTTTAAAAAAATTTCCAACATCCCTGATCACTCAAATTTGATGGTCACACAAAAATCAGCCGTTTCTGTGACCCAATAATGGTGCAAAATTCGAACAAAAATTCTTAGAAAAGATTTTTGAAACAAAATCATTTCGGAATTCGACCCGTGTATGGCCGGCTTTAGTTATTTAGTTATGGGATGTTTGACTGCGAAGATTCTCACATTCTTTGGTTATCTTGCAAGATTGGTTCCCCTGGTGGGCAACCTCATTCGAATTATGAAACCACCTTTCCTTGAACCCTGAAGGTTGGGAATGTAATGCTCATGACTTCACATGTAGATCAGCTGGCCTTTTCTTGTAGAACCATTTCTGTCCAAGATTCCTTCTGAGGATTTGTCTTATTGTTGATCTGTGCCTTCCTTATTAGGTAAATATGTTGTTCCAGCTAGTTTTTGGTGTCACAGCCTCTCACTGGTTCATGCTCCGTGTTCATGCAGTTGGAGTTAATTCCTACTGATCTTTTTGTTCTGGCCTTTAGCATCAGCTCGATCCTCTGTAACCTTCCCTTAGTTGTTAAGCTTATTTTGTCAATTTTTATAATTTTTTTTTTTTTTTTTTTGACAGCTTTTTTGGTGTATTTAATCACTACTGGGTTTTTTTTTCTGCTAAACATTCAAAAAAAGACTGAACATTCTTGGAAAAAAACAAATTTTTCTTATTTTCAAAATTTTCTAACAGTGACTAAGTAATTTTTTCTTCTTTACTGATGTGTGTTGATGAGGCTGTATTGATGATCAGTGCAAAGAATGTACTGCGAGCCTTGCCGGTTATCAGCTCTCCTTTCCTCACACAGACATAGCGTGTGAGGAAAAGACTGCCAATAACTGGAGAGTCTGTTTACATCTGATCAGCTGTGGTTGGACACAGCTGCTCACATGGTAAAGGGCCACTGTGATTGGCCCTTTACCCCAATCTGTGATCAGCTGTGTCCAAATGAAATGGGGTAGGACTCATCGCCTGCATGCACACACCAATCCCCGAATGCATACGTACTTGAAACAAGAAATTTCAAATTCCAGCAACAGATCATAAGAGAAGCCAAGGAGGAGAATGTGAAAATGAGTGCATAACCCAAGCTGCTCATCACTTTGCAGGCATGCTCAGGTGCCCAGAACAGACAGAGCTGGCCAGATAGACTCTCAGTCCAGGAGTAGAAGACAGCACACTATTGCTAAGTAGAAAAAATATATATAATAGCGCCTATGGAAAAAGGAAAAAATATATCTATAAATCACTTATTATAATATACCAGCTGCAAAAAATCACCATAAATCAATAAGGACGTCGATGACGAAACGCGTAGGGCGGAGCTTGATCGATGTGACGTCATTACGTTTCCCATGAGCTACTGCGCATGTGCCGAGTAGCTGGGTCTGTTTTTCTGTGATTGCTGTGTCGGTCGGCTGGGACACCCTTTGAGCTAAGTGCAATGAGTACTTAATAAAAGAAGTTGTTTTAATAATACTGCACCATGAAGTTCTTCTGTTTCTTCCGAGTGTCTGGTATTTCCCTCCCTGGATACGTTTAAAGGTGGCTTTCTTGAGAAGTGGATTTCCTTGATGATAATTGATTTGAAAGCAATTTGCTCCATCAGAAATTGGTCTATGTGGATCTGGGCTCTGCAGAATACTATTCCTTGAAGATACATCTATGAATGACTTATCATTTATTAATACTACTGTTCCCAGAGCAATACATGGTTTAAAAAATTTTTTTTTCGCTCTGGTGAGTTTATTCATATTTTTGGTGGTGGTATTGTCACATTTATTTATATTTTTTGGTGCACGTTTTTTGTGTCACATATTTTAAAGTGTGGACTTTTTGTTTTTGAACAATTTTTACATATATTTTTTTTTGCACCATTTATATATTTGATTTATGGACACTATTGCTAAGCCATGGCCTCCATCTACTTTGACAGATAAAGTTTAGTTTTCAGAGGAGAATGGAGATCGGGGCCCAGCCAGAGGAAGTCTGTGGCCTGGTGGTTGGGAACCACTGCACTAGAGGAGCCAACCCCAGTGATTGTGGAGTACATCTTGGGTTGGAGTTAGCAATCTGCATCAGACAATAAAAAAAACAAATACTATGATTATACCTTATAGCGAACTGAAGCTCTAGTCTTCCAGCCTGACCATCTATTCTTTGCAGTTGCTAGGTGTACTATTCCCCTAATAGATGTGCAGTTTACAGATCGTAGTTTCCTGCAAACTATAATTTTCAGGCACACAGTTTATCAAGCCCTTGCTCCAGAAAATAATGGATTGAACATACTGAGAAAAAACTTTTTTTTTTTCCCTTGGGCTTGACTATTTGTACATTACCAAACTGTGCTTTTTACTGTTCTTCAGGTGCTGCATGCTAATGGATTGACATACTCATTTCTTTCATGAAAGTATTCTCAACTGAGCGATACAAAACTGCTAACTTTCCTATTTTATTTCCTTTTTTAATGTTAAATCTGTTTTGTTTTGTTTTTTTGTTAATCCGTCAGAGCCAAATAAACGTGAGATTCATTTTACAAATTCCGACTTTATTAAATAGAAACGTGTATTCAGAACAGGTGGTGAGCTGTAATGGAGCTATGCCTTAAATGTTGCACACATTTTCTTCAGATGAATTCGCCTGTGGGGGAAAAAGTAGTTCATATTAGATGCTACACCTTGTATCTCTCATTACAATGCAATTCACCTAATAAAATGCACATGTCAGCCACATGGCTCTTACAATGTCCATCTGGAGGAAGATCTACAGTACAGCTAGCAGACTCAGAGAAGCACATCTTCTGGCAATATATTAATAAGAGCCCTTCTGGTGTTTGGGTCTATAATCAGTTCGATAAAGTTCATCCAGAGGGATAAAATGAAAACAGCTGCGCTTGCTGGTGCCGTAATCTTTTTTTTTTTTTTCCCTTTACCTGTGCAGTTTACTCCCTATTGCCATGCAACATTTCTACAACCTTTAGCTTCTACAGCTGTCAACACAAATATATTAAGGACAGGGACTAACTGGTACAGGAAGCAGGACATCATACGAAAGGTGTGTATCTACTGTCCTTTGCAACATATTTATTGGTATAAATTGACCATACAGTATATTGTTACATCATCTTAGAAATTAAGCCAGTGCCTCAGTTATTTTTGTATACATCTTTGGGTTAGAAGCAAAGTAAAAGAGTATAATAACACTTACACGTCATGTTTAAAGACTTCCATTGTGATTTTCTCTGGAGGTGTAGGTAAGTTGGTAATGTCTATGCCCAAGGTTTTTAAAGCTGCAGGTACAAAATAAGTACAAGTGTAAATCAGGAAAAGATCTGCTACATCAAAATTCTTTATTTTGTAATTTGAAGAAAGCTTTTGGTTTTACTTTACAAATCACATTTTACGTCATGAACCTCTAAGCATAGTTTAGCAAGTATAAAGCTCTGATCGAATGGACCTTACTGTATGTACAGCAGTATACTTCCAATCTTTTTTCTCTTTGCCCTCTCTATGTACAATAGTATTTTTCCAATCTAATTATTTCACTTCAATGTCACAACTGTTGTTATAGGCTCCTATTTTTTTTTTCTAAAAATAATAAATACAATATACTTACCTGCTCTTTGCAATGGTATTGCATAGACTGGCTCCAAACCTCCTCTTATGGGGTCCCTTGCCAGCACTCTAGGCTCCTCCTGTTCTGGGTGCACCACCATAGCAAATCCATTGCTATGGAGGGGCATGTGCAGGTTTGTTCCTGAGTTAGGCTGTGTCCGCCCATAGATACGCACAGCGCGGCTTGTCCCCACACCTCCCTACAAGATTTGATCGACAACAAAAGCCAATGGCTCCTGCTGCTGCCTCTGTGTTTCTCTGAGGTGTGAAAGAGAGAAGGTATGCTGCTCTCAGACACAGCGCTGGATTGAAAGAGGAGTCAGGTAAGTATTCTAAGGGAGGACTGGAGGTTGCTGATCATGAAAGGTTTTTGTCCTTAATGCAGAAAATGGTGAAAAACCTATGTCCTTACAACCACTTTATTAAAATAAAACGAGAACTCAAAATTTTTAACACCTCTATCCTCATTTACATACACACATAAATGCAGACTTGCATGTGAAAATAAAAATTGTGCCACACATATTAGGTATCGCTGTGCGTGCCGAAGTGTCAGCAATAAATCTGGGGACATCATTCCGTGTTAGTTCTAAACCAGCGGTCTCCAAACTTTTCAAACAAAGGCTCAGTTTACTGTCCTTCAGACTTTAGGGGGGCCAGAAAATGTCCTGGGCCTAGCATCAGTGACAATACACATTGCCCTGGTAGTCAATCACATAGTCTGTGGTAGGTAGGAGGAAGAATAGTGACCCATCATTGGTATTACTTGGAGGAACAACACCCCATCATTGGTATCAGCGGGAGGAATAGTGCCTCACCGTTGGGGTCAGTGGAAGGAAAGGAACAATACCCCAAGGGCCAGATACAGGATAGCAAAAAGCTGCATCTGGCCCTCGGGGCACAGTTTGGAGACCACTGCTCTAAACAGATAACCTGTAAAAGGCTTTTAAAGAATCGCTTATGGACAGTTTTGGGTACCATAGTTTGGTATCTATTTACTTGATACAACCTTATCTTTTATAATTTACCAAAGAATGGGTATTATATTGTGTTTGTGTGAAATAAAAATGTATTTTTATTTCATATTGAAAATATGGATTTGGTAAACACATTTATTATGTGACATAAAAAAATGGAATTGCTATTATTTTATTATAAAGGGTAAGAAATTGTATTACATTTTTGTTTTTAGATACACTTTCACGAAAACTAAACTGCTGAACTGTAAAAGCTTTTAAAGCGTTGCTGATGGACAATTTTGTATATTGTAGTTTTCTGCCAGCTTACAGGCATGCACAATTTTAAGGCTGGGCATGTTTGGTATCTATTTACTCAGCACAATTTAATCTTTTTTATTTTACAAAACATTCAGTATTAGCCGTCATGCACACTTGACATTTTTACAGCTACTGTTTTTGGCTTTTGATGTTTTTTTCTACAGCCAGTAAACCCCCCAGCATGTTATCCTATGTGTCCATGCACACATAGACTATAATCAATGTTTTTTGGCTGGAAAAAAAAAACAGGAATAGTGGGTTTCTAGAGGAGTATTTTTAGCTGCAAAATGCTCTAACACTGAAAAACATGGCAAAACGTGGTAAAATGCCGCAAACCGGCATTTTTGGACTTTTTTGACCAAAAAAAAAAAAACATTTTCTTTGGTAAAAAAAACTCTAAAAAAATGCAAATACGGAAAAATGCAGCTAATTGTGGCAAAATTCAGCTAAACACTAGTGCAAAAAAGCTGGAAAAAAAAAAAAAAAAATCACGTTTTTAACGTGACTTTACACTAACATTAACAGCGGCCAGTGTGCATGAGGGCTTATAGTGTGATCATGGTGAGCACTAAAATTTTGTTTGCCAATTAGTTGCACTAATATTATGTGACAATACAAAATTGCAACATTTTATTCTGCAAGGTCTCTGCTTTCAAAAAATATATAATGTTTTGGGGTTTTAAGTGATTTTCAGGCCTAAAATATCAAAATACGTGTGCAAAAATAAATAAATTAAATGGTTCCAGCAGCAAGAGGATTAAAACGTGGCTAAATTAGACATGATTTTAATAATCACCTTCGCTTTCAGAGGTATCTCACTGTGCATGAGGACATAATTGCACATACATCACTGCTAATATTGGTAGTACATGAGCAATATGATCTGTGAATTTTTTTCTATCCCCATTAAATGATATATTTACATTGCACAGTGCATTGGGCCATAAACACTACAACATACCGACTGTATGCCATATATATCACAACACTGTAGTGACTATTCCAGCATAGATGCCCAATATACCTCTGATCAATTCGCTATCCTAAGCTAAACAGATTGTTCTACACAATACAAATGCTCTATAAGCAATCAGCAGTACTGGAATCACGGTTAAAAAAAAACCCCACAAATACACCCCATTCATACAGCCTAACTTACTGATACCAATGCATGTAGTACTTTTTGTAATGCAGTACATTACAATGCACTCTAGTGCTTTACTGTACTTTGTGGTGCACTGCACCGCACATCCCCTGGCAAACTGCACTGGCGTGCCATTCAAAATGAATGGTCTTACATTACACCAACAAACGTAACGTGTTACCACAACGAAATGGTCTAAAAGGCTCCTAAAAATATTAAAAGTGTATGTATGTTCCAAGCTGGACCAATGTAACTAGGCATATCTCATACACAGGAGATCATTGGGGATGCTGAAAAGCACTATAGTAGTCACCATTACTGAAGTAATAGCAATTTTCCAGGCCCTGCACCAAACACCTTCCCTTCTGCATAGTAACTACAGGGGTTGCTCATTCGGCACCTGCTGCAATTCACAGAGGGACTTGTACTTTTTTAATGAATACAAGGCGTTATCTGATTGGAGAGGTGGAGAGGCAATGTCACAATCTCTACCTCATCCAATAATCAGAAAGTACCTTGTATTCAGTAAAAAAAACAAGGTGTTCTGTGAATGGCAGCGGGATCTAGCAAGTTATTCCTTGTGGTTACTATGCATAAAGGCAACTGCTCAGGACCTGGAAGATGCTGTCACTGTAGTAGTAGCGGCTACTACAGTGATTGAAGCTTCCCCCACAATCTCTAATGTATGTGATATGCATAACTTACTTTGGTCCAGGCTGGACCAACTATAACTATGCAATAAAAGTTACACCTATGCTTCCGCTTTAATGTTAGGTAAGCCTCACTCCACCTCCTACTTATCACCTAATAAAACTAATTTTGTGTGAATTATTTAAGATGTCAAATACAAAGAAATAAGGAATACAGAATTATAGTCCTATGTATTCTTATAAACCAGAATATAGCAATATATATGATACCCTTGGGGTTTCAGTGAATCAATGGATTTTAAAGAAAAGGCGAAACTAACTCAAGAATATATTAATAAAGTAGATGAGGACACTAAAAAGAAGAAAATTAAGAAATATGGTAGAGATATACAGGATTACAAATCCCAAAATGTTTATAAATGGCAGGATGATAATAGTAAGGGAACTGACGATTCTAGGAATTCCTCAGTTGAGGGGGATACCAAAGATCCAGGTTCTAAATTGGGATCATCTGGAGTGAAGATTAAGGCAGCTACGGTTGCTTTTTCAAAAAATATACAAAAGAATTCTTCCCCTAGAAAGAACATGGATGAGAATCCAACTTCTAACTATGGGGTGCCCACATACAATAGATTTGGACCTCTAATGGGATCCCCATATAATCATCAATATGAGGGAAAGGTTTTTCCAAGAGGAGGTTTTGTGGGACCGCCATGGAGAGGGGGGAACCAAAGAGGAGTTTACAACCCGAGAGGGAGAGGGGGTCAGTATTACCCAAACAGAGGAGGGAGGGGTGGATGGAAACCACCTCCAAATTATCAGAATTACCAAAATTATCAGGACCCAAACTATCAGGACCCCTATTGGGAAGGAAGAAATACAGGGGATGTAGAGGAGGTAAAAGGAAAAAGGAAAAGGTCAATGTAAATAAAGGAATTTTCAACTTAAGTGATTACATTTTAAAAGAGGAGGAATTGAGGGTCTTAGCATTGGGTCTGAAATATGCACCCGACAAAAAATTAAATAAATTGGAGACTTATATAGATCTTCATAGATTTATCAGAAAATTAAATTTAAAAAAATATTGGAGTAAAAACTCCAAATCTAATGCTATTGATCCTCATAAGGGTGGGAGAATGAGCAATGATGGGAATGAAGGGGTTTATAAGCACACCAATTTGAGGAATAAGTCTGTGTTCAACCCAAAAGTAGGAAATAATTGTTGTATAGATACATTCAAAAAGATGGTGGAATATGATTTGGAGGTATTATCGGTTCCAAATAAGAGGATGAAGCATGATTTAATTAGAGGAATTCAACAATTAGAAAAAAATAATAACATTGTAATAAGATCAGCAGACAAAGGAGGAGGGGTGGTGGTGTTGAATAGGAATGATTATTATGAAGAACTGAATAGATTGGTGGGTGACGAAAATACATATGAGAAATTGAGGGGCAACCCTCTAAAAAGTTACAAGAACAAATTAATGAAACTAGTGAAAAGAGGTGAAAGAGAAGGTTTTTTAAAAAAAAAAAGAAGCGAGATATTTGGTACCAAAAGCACCTGTTACACCTGTTATATACCAACTACCCAAGATACATAA